AGATGACAATGTCCAGAATGCACAATCACATTGAAGGCCAGATAGTATCACAATGTCCAGAAAGCAGAAATGCACCAATATAACACCAATGAAGAATAGTAACACTGAAAAACAACGTCAATGAGAGCTTGCTCTCGCCGCCACCAACATGAGTGTCCAGGCCCTATCTCCCTACTTGGCGCTCGGCGCCCCGCCTACTTCCTACACAGCTACAGTCCGCCTACTAATAGACAATGCAACTGTTGACGTCAGCAGACCACAAAGTACTTGAAGATGTCGCCCAATGCAGACCATCGCCAATACCAGGTATGTGCCCTCACATCATCATCATCATCATCATCATCATCATCATCATCATCATCATCCTTCTCTCTCCCCCCTGACTTACTCCCACGTCTCCCTTCTGTACACCCGAAGACCACCCCTGCGCCTCACTGTAGTCCCAGCCCTACCAGCTACGGAGGCTGGGCTATGGCGCTTCCCTCAGCAGCGCCCTGCTCCCTACACGACCGCACGCGCTAGCACCTTGCCTCCCAGCGCCAGCAGCAGCCCACGAGCGTCCGCTCCAGCAGCACTGCCGCCAGCATGCAAGTGCTGAATGTCGTCCCAGGCAGCGAGCTCTTTCCTATATCGAAAGAGCCTTCCTGCCTTCGCAGCCTGGGTGGCCTGGGCCTGGGCCCAGAAGCTTCCGGTAGACCCCAGGATGCTGTGCCTCTGGTGCAGCTACTGGGCCTCATTTGGTTGGGCCTCCCAACTGTCTGTGTATGAGGCTGCGAATCTCGCCCAGGGCCTGTGCTTTCGGAAAAGCCTAGAGGGCCATGGAACTTCCCCGCTGCTCGGCCTGTGTTTTCTTCAACCAACTGGCGCGACGAAACTGCCTGGACCCCGAAATACGAAATTCACAGTCGAGGGCTCCTCGTGATTTATTAGGCCCGCCTTCACTTAGGGCGGGCGCAGATGCAACAGGGGCCCCTTAGGCCTGCCGAGGACCCAGATCCTCCCAGTTGATTTTAGTCAACTGTCGGTCCACCCAACAGTCAAAGTCAAAGTGTACCCAGCCCAGGCCGCGGGTCGGACACACACATTTGTTTGTATGCAGGTACCCAGACAGCATCAGGTCCAAGGGGGAAGTCTGCAACTGTACAATCCAGGCCCTCGGCTGTAAGGCAATCTGGATGACTGTGGGAAAGGCAACCGAGGCCAGACAGCCTCGACAAATGTTACTTGAGGCTGGTCTCAGGTTGGCCGAGGATTCAGTCTTGCTATGCTGCTTTGACGCTGGCTCGACTTTGACTACAGTCTTCCCCCGAATAAAACGTACGGTCACTATAGGTGAATTTGGTGTACCTTTCAGTCTAAATTCAGCTATAATGACCGTGCGTTGTATTCGGGGGAAGACTGTAGATGCTGGCATTATGCTGGCTCGACGCTGGCGATGCGGATGACAGCACGAGGTGGAGGCAGCATGCTGGCGCTTTCTGCATTGTGCGCCAGACTTGCTGACGTGCATGCTGATGTGGCGCTGCATCTGGTCTACATTGCATGCTGATGTGGCGCTACCTCTCGTCTACATTGCATGTTGATGTGGCGCTACCTCTGGTCTACATTGCATGCTGATGTGGTGCTGCCTCTGGTCTACATTGCATACTGATGTGGCGCTGCTACTAGTCCACATTGTTGATATGGCGCATGGCACCTGCCTGCACTGCTGACGTGGCATTGTCCATGCTGTCTACATGAAGCGACTGGTTGCGAGGAGGAGGAAGATTGGGATCTGTGGATGAAGGAGATCGGGTACTCACCTGAAGTTGACGTCGTCACTGGAATTTGCTATGTCTTCATGGTCTTCACGAGATAAAGTGCACGTGGCACTATTGTGTGTGATCAGGATTACTATACTTGTTATCATCTACTGGTTGTTGATGTGGAGAGGGAAGAAGCCCGGAGAAGGAGAGGGGTCTGAAGGGATTACTGTTGTGTGATCTTTGATAATTTCTTCCACCTTCTCCTTTGTCTGTTCCCTGTCCACTCTCTTCGTCTAATGGTAATGAGATACTGTTTGACATATCACTTCACGATTTGGAGACATTCGTTGCAGATATTGACACTACTGTTGTTTGACGACTTCTGAGTATCTGCCAGACTGGGTTCATAACAGAGTCAAGAGTTCCACCGCTACCTGGGCGGCTCGACTCTATTCGTGGGAAGACGGCAGTGCTAATCCATGCACAGGGTAACCAGTCCAATTGCTCGTTTTTTTCTTTTTCATTTTCTTTTTTTTTTGCCCAGTGAAATAGTTCCGTTATTTAAATACTTATTTATTCATGGCACTTGGGACTGGGATGAACGTTATGTATTAACTTAGTCATTTAAAAAGACATCAGTCAGGGGGGCAACTGGTACCGTACTTTTTTTTTTTACCTTGATTTTCATAATGGGCGAAATCTCGAGATCGCCGCGGTATGTCGTTACTGGTCTGACGACCTTGACTTTCACGGATCCCATCAAGGAGGCGGCGCTTTCAACGGTCTGAATCTCCCCACCGGCGGCCTTGAGCAGCCGGCGTAGCAGGAGCTCATTCTGCAGGCTGGCCTCTGACCGAATGGATGACGTCATTTCTTTTCCAAGACGCATACCCATCACGTCCAGCTTTACGCCTTTCTCCGCCATCGCCGTGGCAACCTGCTCCACTTGCTCCTCTAGGGTTCCTTCCTCCGGGTCGCGCGACTTCGCTTCCGCATCGGTTATCATGTACAATCGCTTGTTGCCCTTTGCCGCTGGCCCCAACTTTGTGACAAGGAGGTCAATCCCGACGACAATCGCATCGAGGACTAATCACCAAATCCGTGAATCCTCACGATAGTCAAGGCACTTACCCTCTCTCTCTCTCTCTCTCTCACACACACACACACACACACACACACACACACACACACACACACACACACACACACACACACACAAA